TTGAGCTCCATGTTCATCAGAACCTTGGGCTCCAACCATATAGCTCAGTGGTCGAGCGCTCGCTTGAAAAGCGTGAGGTCCGTGGTTCGATACCACCCTCGAGTACACAGTCCACATACCTTGACTAAGGTTTTGGACTCACTCGATACACGGGCAGCGCCCACCTAGCTCAACGGTCGTGCGTTGGCTTTGCGAAAAGAGAAAAAAGTCGAGCATTCCGTCCATTGCAAGTTAGTTTACTCCTTCATGAGCATCTTTAGTCTTCAACGCTGTTAAATGAAATATACCGAAGAACCAAAGTTGTGGCGCGCAATTGAGAATAATTACATACCTCAAGAATGCATTAACCTACCTCAGAAGCCAAATCGTCATCCGAGATACTGATACAGTGAGCATCACGTGGTTTGAGGTACCTATTGGCATCGAGCATCAGTTCACTTTACAGCACTGCAATACTTAACACACCACCTGCTCATACCACACCATTCCACGATTCAGCAGTTAGTATAGAAGTACATTTTAGATGCACAACACTTCAGGCTTACGGAAGTGGAAGGTCACCACTGGCAAGTATTCCTTGAATAATAGGCACATCTCTGTTTCAGTAAGTAAATCATTTGCTTGGATGGCTTCCTGACAGCAACAAACAACTCGTCAACCAGCTACTCGATCTGCGGTCCCAGAACAAGCCCGTTTTGTCCACCCAAATTACAGACAATGCACACGCCACATTAGCCACTCCATCTTCAGTCCCAGGATACACAACCTCAGTTACTCACACAGACTGTAGCCACTGCGAGCTACTCGATCTGTAACCGCTTTGCGATCGCACTGCACGCAAAACTTGAGCGGAACGACCTGCTATCACTGTCGGGTTCCTCGGTTCAACCTCCTCCAAAGACGCTCGAACAGATATTCGATATTCCTATTGGCTGATATAATTGTCGGCGGCTTTGTCAAGACATGGTGACTTTGGGTGACTTTTGGTCATTTCTGATAAGATTTGGTCCCAGGACATTCCCGACAATACCGGTCAAGCCCCCCCCCCCGGCTTGATCGGTATTGTTGGGCCGCAAGGCCCGCAGGGTTGCGGGTGGCCCACCCGCCATTAAGCCCACGTGGCTGGCTAAAATTAAAAAAAATACTTTCAGTTGAAATCCATGGGTAGAACGAGCCCAGCACAGGCTGCTGTGGTGGAAGCTATTGCGCGGCGCCAGTTTCCACCCTTACTGAGCTACCCTGAAATGATTTCTGGTACACTACTGTCTGAATGGTTTGGATTCCCTACCCTTACATGGGCTCCAGAGTGCCTGGAGCCCAACCGCACACCCAAATGTGTTGTTATTGGCTGCCGTTGTGTGCCCAAGGTAAAGCAGTACAAACCGCGTATCGTCGAGGACGTGGAACACCGAACGGTACTGTATTACGCGCGCTACCAATGCACTGGCGGGGCGAAGAAGTCTTTTTCTACCATCAGTGACGCATATCTGTCGTCATCTAAGTTGTTTGTTTTAAACTTCCCATATTTGCTAACTTACAAGACATGCATATCATCGGACATGTTTGATATTCTTTATGATGGTATGCTTTCGACTGAAGGAATAGCAGGTGCAGTAGCAATGTGGAGCGACGGCGGCAGAAGCGATATTATTGCCTTCTTTCTCGTGTCGGTGTCCAGGTAGAGGTATCGCGAGAAGATGACAGAACCTACAGCCCACCTCTTCCCCCAACAGAAGCACAGTACATGACAAGTCATATGTGTTTGGACGCCGAAGTTTTGAAGGACTTGTGGTTAACTCACACTGAAATTCTCTCTAGGTTGTGTCTTGCACAGATGAAGGATACTAAATGTGAT